CTGCCCTCGTGATCCAGTAGTTGTTTATCTCTCTTTTTCTCAGCTTCTTTATTTTCCATCATTTGGTCTTCTATATCACTGATTCTCTCTTCTGCCTCATTTATCCTAGCAGTTAGAGCCTCCATTTATGATTGCACCTCATTAATAGCCTTTTTGATTTCTACTTGGTTAGATTTTAGTTCTTTTATTTCACCAGAAAGGGATTCTCTAGTATCTTCCATGCTTTTTTCAAGCCCAGCTATTATCTTTATAATCATCATTCTGAACTCTAGTTCTGACATCTTACTAATGTCCGTATTGATTAGGTCCCTGGCAGTCGGTACTGCCTCTTGTTCTTTTTTTTGAGATGAGTTTTTCCATCTTGTCATTTTGTCTAGAGGAGAATAGATGAATGAGAGAACAAAATGCTAAAAGGGTAACAACGACCCCAGAAAAACATACACCAAACAAATCAGAAGAGACCTGAAACCAGGGGGAAAAGAAAGGGAAAGAAAAAAAAAGAATATGATCAGGTTGGTGAATAGGTCAGTGCCAAACACTAGATTTTGGGCATATTTTGGTCTGTTAGAAGAAACAGCTTCCCAAAATTTTAAAGAAAGAAAAACTTATATATGTATAAAAATAAGGGTAAATACAATGAAGGGATGAAATCTGACTGTAAAGATGAAAATTATAAAAGATTTTATAAAAGTAATTGATAAGTTGGTTGAAAAAAGAAAGAAAAATTTTTTTAAAAAGTGGGGGAGAGAATGTGATCAGGCAGGAGACTAGAACAAAGCCATACACTAGAGATTTAGGGTATATTTTGGTCTGTTAGAAGAAACTGTATCCCAAAATTTTAAAGAGAGAACAACTTATATATATATACAAAAAATAAGGTTAACTACAATGAAGGGATAGAATATGACTCTAAGAATGAAACTTCAAAATAGATTTTAGAAAAACGAATTGATAAGATGTTGGTTAAAAAAAGGAAAAAGAAAAATTAAAAAAAAAATAAAGAAAATTTGAAAAATTAACTTTGAAGGACTAAAGAATCATGGGGAAAAAAGCCATGAATTCTATGTGCTGTATTCCCCTAGTGCTAGAGTTCTGCAGTTCTCATTGATTGGTAAACTGGGTCTTGGCTGGATGTTCTTGCTGATCTTCTGGCCGGGGTTGGGGCTGTTGTCGTAATTCTCCAATGTTCTTTGCCAGTGGCGGAATTGCCCCACCCTTGCCAGGGGCCAGGCTAAGTAATCTCGGGTTTGCTCTTGGTAGCTTTTGTGCCCTGAAAGATTTCTGTACAGCTTTGGAGGACGAGAATGAAAATGGCGGCCTCCTAATCTTGGCTCTGGAGGAGCCAAGAACTTGGGGCCCCACTCCTTAGTGAGCCCCCAGAGAAAAGCAGTCAATCACTCCCGTCTCCAGCCGCACTCTGTGCCCACCTGGCCTGTGACCGAGTGTTTCTATCTCTGGCACCCGGCCCCGTGTGGAGTCTCCAAACCCAGCAGATCCCGGTGGTGCGCTTCCGCACCACTCCTCCCGGGGGAGGAAGGGGAGTTTCCCTGGATCTGCCACTTGTTGGGTCCCTGCTGGAGGAGCAATGGCCCGACTGTGCCATGGATCACAGTTTATGGCAACCCCAAGCTGAGAGCCCACTCCTCGGCTCCATCTCTGCAGCCGGCTTCTCTGCTCTGCTATGTGGGAGCTCTGCCTCATTCAGGCACCCCCAGTGTTTCTGTGACCCCGAGGATCCTGAGACCACACTGTCCCAGTGAGCGTTCCACCTCCCCCTTAGCCACTGGAGCGATGTTCCTCAGCAGAGCAGACTTCTAAAAGTTGCAGTTTTGTGCTCTGCTGCTCTATTACTTGCCAGTAGCCAGCGGACAGAGGCTCCCTCTCCCCGTGGTCTATCTTCCCAAATATCGTTGCAGATTCACTTCTCCACACGTCCTACCTTCCAGAAAGTGGTTGCTTTTCTGTTCAGAGAGTTGCTGCTATTCTTTTGTTCAATCTCCTGTTGAGTTTGTAGTTGTTCAGAATGGTTTGATACCTATGTAGCTGAATTCCTGGGACCAAACAAAATTTAGTTCTCCTACTCATCCGCCATCTTGCTCCTCTCTCATATTTTACATCTTTTAATTTTGTGTATCTGTCAACTAATTTTTGTACATATAATTGATTTTACTCCTTTTGTGTTTTAACCTTGATTGTATCTTTGTAATAAATGAATCTATTATCTTTGGTATATGTTTGCTTTGCCTATGAAATTTTTTGCTTTTGTAATTTCCTTTTAGTTATGGCCCCCCCCCTTTTTTTTTTTCCCCCCCATTCAGAGTATTCCCTTTAACATTTCTTGTCAGGCTAGTTTGGTGTTGATGAACTCCTTTAACTTGTTTGGTAAACTCTTTGTCTCCCCTTCTATTCTGAATGATAATCTTGCTTGGGTAGAGTATTCTTTCTTGAGGTTTTTTTCTTTCAATGCTTTTAATATCAGTGCCTTAAAATCATTCCTTTCTGGCCTTCAAAGTTTCTGCTGAAAAATCAGCTCATAGCCTTATGGGATTTCCCTTGTTTATAACTGTTTTCTCTTGCTCCTTTTAAGATTGTCTCTTTATCGTTATTTTTTTGCCATTTTAATTATTTTGTGTCTCGTGGACCTCCTTGGGTTCATCTTGTTAGGGGTTCTCTGTGCTTCCTAGATCTGGATGTCTGCTTTCTTCCCCATATTAGGGAAGTTTTCAGCTATTATTTTTTTAAATAAGTTTTTTTGCTTTCATCTCTCTCTCAGCCTTCTGGTACCCCTAATAATGTGAATGCTCTTAATGCTTGAAGATGTTGCTGAGTTCCTTCAACTTACTCTCATTTTTTAAATTCTTTTTTCTTTTTGCTGTTCAGCTTGTTTGCTTTTCTTTACCCTTTCAGATTGCTAATCTGTCCTGCATCCTCTAATCTGTTGATTCCCTCTAGTGTTTTTTCATTTTAGTTATTCTTCAACTCTGACTGGTTCTTTTGAATATTTACTAGCTCTTTGTGAAGTTCTTCCTGCATTCATTTGCTCTTTTCTCAAGTCTGATGAGTAGCTTTATCACCATTACTTTGAACTCTTTATCAGGCATATTGCTTATCTCAGTTTCATTTAGCTCTTTTTCTGTGATTTTTGTCTTATTCTTTCATTTGGGACATAGTCCTCTGTCCCCTCATTTTGTTTAACTCTCTGTGTTTTTATCTATGTATTAGGTAAATCAGCTACATCTTCTGGTCTTGAAAGTAGTGGCCTCGTGTATAAGAGGGTCTACACCAACATTTGTTGTTTCTTGTGTTTTTAATGGTGGTCTTTCTAATAGGCATGAGGGATATCTCATGGTTTTAATTTGCATTTCCTCATTAGCCTCTAACTGAAATTTAGCATTTCTCTTATTATGAACATAGGAAATAATCACTGGCATCAGTAATACCAATGATTTTAGCATCCATGGAAATCACTGATATTGTAGTAGTGATCATAGGTATCTGAAAATACATTGTGTTCTTCCATACTTTAAAACTTTGTTACTTATTAGACCTCAGGCTTAGCTTTATTAATGTATTTATAAGGATGCATATATGTTACTATATCACAAGTTTGTTTTTTAAATATTGGATGAATGTTTTTCAGTTTTTTGGAGGGAGGGGTAATCCTGTGTGTTTTAAGTCCTGCATTTAAAAACATTCTATGAAGGAATACATAGTCTTCATCTACCAGAGTGATTCATAATGTGCCACAAAAACACCACTGAAATGTTCACATATGAAGGGAAAGAGAAAAGCTAGAGAGGAGATGCTGTATGAAATGAAAACAGTTTTTTTTTTTTTTTTTTTAAATGGGAGTGACTCAAGTATATTTCTGCTGCTGAGAGAGGGAAGTTAAAGTGTTTAGAGAAGGGGGTGGTAACGAGATCCTGGCCCATGAGAGCTGTGTGAGGAGAGGCGATGATTCAGAGCACAGGTGGCGGGATTAGGTTTGGATAAGAGCAGAAGGTAAAGGCATTTTATCTTCAGTTCTGAGGAATGAATGGGAGCAGGTGGAGACCAGGTGGAGGCCAGGTGGGGTCAGGGTGCTGAGTAAATCCTATTTTATAACATTCTTTACTTCCTTTATGGGCAGGAGTCTAGGTCACCTACTGAGTAAAGTGGTGGAGGAAGGGGCTTGAGGAGCATAGGGAATTTTTTAAGAAAGAATTTTTGAGTATGTCTTGACGTTTAGACAGTATGCTAAAACTTGGGATAGGAGGGTAAATAAGATGGTCCTCTACACCAAGTACTATGCCTCTTGGTGAGGAGCACAGACATATAAATAAATTAACACATAAAAGGAAGCAGTGCAATTAGTATGAGGTTGGAGGGCTGGAGGAGGAGGTTAGGGAAGCTGGCATTTGAGCAGATTCAATTTTATTGAGTATAAGATTGCCAGGGAGAAATGAGAAGGGAGAAAGGAGAGCATTTGCAATGGCATGGATGTATGGACAAGCAGGGCTAATTAAAAAAAAAAAATTATGGAGATATAAATATTCATTTATAAAAATGCATAAATCACAGGCACATAGCTTCATGAATTTTCACAAAGTGAATACTCCCACATAACGAGCACATAGGTCAAGCAACATCATCACCAGGCGGGGCTAATTTGAAACAGTGAGCATTTGGGGGAGGAGGCTGGAGGGAGGGGCAGGCAAGGTCTTACTGTGTTGGGTTGGGGAGCAGGGTGGGATGGGAAGATGTGGGATGTGAAGATGGACATGGCATGGCTTTTGCCTTTATGGTCAAGGAGTGGTCATGTTTCTACCTGTTCCGCAACATGACTGGCACTTTGTAAAGTTTGGGTTAAGTTGCTGTGTTTATCTTGTTTATTTAGAAAAGAGAGAACTTTCTTACCAAAGGATTATGTTATTGTATACATCATATAAGATTTTGGAGGGGTGGTTTAAAAGGCTTATTTGAAAGTTAATTTGTTTTCTCTACTTTCTCTTTTTACTCAGGGATATTATGTGTACCGTGACATGCTAGGAGAAAAAGGAGATTTCATTACTTCACCGGAAATAAGTCAGATCTTTGGGGAGGTAATATTCAATGTAAACTGTAAATGAAAGCAGATCAAGTTGTTCTTCTATAATATAGCGTTTTACAGCTTGGTTTTTGTGATTCAAGTTTTCTTTTTTCTTTTTTTTAGTTTTCATTTTTAATCATGCTGAAGGAATAGAGAACAATGGAGGTCTAAAGAGAGAGATAAGTGAAGAAAGAGAGAAAAGATGCAAAACACTAAGGCATTAGTGGGGAGAGACACACTCTACAGCCCCTGCCCAAGATTGCACCATAGTTAGACAGAAGTCCCCTGTGAGAAATTCTGAATTCTTCTTAGGAATTCTAGTTCGTTGATTTCTGCATAAAAACCCCTTGATAAATTTAGATATAGGAAATAGTACAAAAAAGGAAATAGAATCTAGGTATTAAAAAATGTTAATTATGCCTAAAAAGCCACGTAATTATTGAAATCATATGAATATGAAGAAGTGGCATAATCCTATTCCATGTGTTTATTTGCTTTCAAAGACTAACACCTTCCTGTAAGTGATATCCTCTTACCTGTGTTATGAGACCTCTTATAGGGGGACTGCCTTTTAACTGTTTTCTCCTGTTATTAAGCTTTCTAAGTGGTGTCTTTTATAATGTAGTCTCTGTGAAGCTCCTGGGTGTGCATACATACATGTACATATTAAGTAACATACATACGTACATACATTGCAAACATTTTGCTTTCTGGCATAAAGTATGTATTTATGTTGAGTTTTATATTGTGGTATACTTTTATATTTTATAATACTTCAGTGTAGTTTTTTTCTTTGTCACAGCTGCTAGGTATATGGTTCATTAGCGAATGGATGGCTACTGGAAAAAATGCAGCTTTCCAACTGGTGGAACTGGGCCCAGGCAGGGGTACCCTCGCAGGAGATATTTTGAGGGTAGGTAATAAAAGAATGGCTTTAGATCCTCACGTACTCACTTGAATCTTTGTTCTTTTGACTTGTTTGCAAACTCCATTGATTTCCTTGGCTTTTGGTCCTACCTCCTTAACAATCTCTTTCTCAGCTGAAGTACAATGTCAGAATAATACAATGAATTGTAACTTGTTGTCTGTTTGTAATCTAAAAAATGAGGGTGGGAGAGAATGAAAAAGTTTAGAACATTTAGAAGACATTATGGGAGAGTATATTTGTCTTCTAAGTAGGAAAAGTTTTTGAATTATATGAAAAGCAGAAGCCATAAAGGAAAAGATGAATAGAAGGATAATTTCAACTACATTAAAGAATTTTTTTTTTAAGATTTTATTTATTTGTCAGAGAGAGAGAGAGAGCACAAGCAGGGGGCGCGGCAGGCAGAGGGAGAAGCAGGCTCTCTGCTGAGCGAGGAGCTCGATGTGGGGCTCGATCCCAGAACCCTGGGATCATGACCTGAGCTGAAGGCAGACGCTTAACTGACTGAGTCACCCAGCTGTCCCAAATTTTTTGTTCTTTAAAAAAATTAGGAACTTCTGTTCTTCAAAGACACTGTAAAGAGAGGAACAAGACAAGCCGCCACACAGTGGGAGGAGTTATTTGCAATACATATAACCAACAAAGAACTGGTAGTTAGAATACATAAAGGATTCCTTTCAGTTGTTAGGATGGTGACATATAACTCGATAGAAAAGTCAGGCTAAAGATGTGAACAGGTCCACCATGAAAGAGGAAATCTACATGGCCAGGAAAAACCAAAAAAATGCTCAGACTGGTTGGGAGTCAGGGAAATGAAAGTTAAAATCACAGTGAGATACTACTATACCCTCAAAATGAGAAGATTTGGCAGCACCAAGGGTTGGTGAGGATGGGGAGATGTGGCACACTGGGGACTCTCATACGCTGTTTGTAAGAGTGTAATTTGGCGTAAGCACTTCGAAGTGCTTATTGGGCATCATCTGCCAACGTCAAAGTTCTTATACTGTTTGACCCAGTGGTTTTACTGCTAGGTGTATGCCCTATGGGAATGAGTGCATATACGTACCAGGATACATGTACAAGAAGACAGCATTGTTTAGAATAGCCAAAAAACTGGAAACAACCCAGACGACTATCAGTGGGAAAATAAATCAATAAATTGTGGTACAGTCATACAATGGAATGCCAAGTGTTGTGCAAATGCATGAAGTCACAGCAGAATGCACGATATTCAGATGAAACTCAGCAAATGTTGAGTGAAAACAGCAATTTGTACAAGAATTCGCATCATATGATTGTATTATATGAAATCCCCAAATAGCATTAAACAATATGCGTTTGGTGATACAAACGTGTTCAGTAACATTTATAAAGAAAAAGGAAATTATAAACTCCAGATTGAGAACAATGGTGACCTTTGACAGTGAGGGAGGACATGGGGGCTCCAATGGGAAGGGTCAGGTCACTCTCCTTTAATCAGCTGATATTTTTCCATGTATTGTTCTTTCTTCCATTCTACCTAAGATTTTCTAAAAACATTAAAAAGGAATGTTTAAAGTACATAATAAGTACTTGTATTAAACTTTTGTTGTTATACTGTTTTGGAATCCAGTGGTCTTTTTTAGTTTATCTTAAGTGTATAAAATAAAACACATATTCAGTATACATTTAAATGCCTTGATGCTGTATGATTTTTGCTTGAAATTAGGAATCGAAGGCTTTTAATTTATAAATCTGACAACCTTGATTATATCATATTTGGAAGGTGAAAGAAACCAACCACTGATTTAGGTTTCCGGGGCTCTATTTTATATCTCTTTAAATTGGCAAAGTCATTTGAATATAAAATATTTGATAAGGTTCTCAAATAATACCATCTTGTTTCAAGTACTTTAAAAATCAAGCCCACAGCTCTTAAAATGTATAAAGGATGCTTCCCTAGATCCAGTCCTTAGAACCTTAAAAAGCCAAAGAATTTAAAGGAATGTTAAGAAAATAGACAAAGACATATTTGCAGACTTGTTTTCATTTCTTGATCATAATTTCTGAAGGATTTTTCTCTTGGGAAGTTTTTCTATTTGTAGTTTCATTTCAAAACAAAATTTGGAAAAATCATCTTGTCCTTATTATCAGCCTATACATGCATATTCAGATCTCCAAAGCAGGAGGCAAATCACCAATGAAAATTAAATTCAGATGAAAAATACTATTGATGTACTTTATGCTTTGGCATTGAATTTTTAGCATTAAAATATTGATAAAGTATTAGTATATTCCTTTTTTCCTCATGTTTACAACAGTTATAAAAATGTGTGTAGCTAAGAAAAAATTAAAAATGTGGAAGAATTACCAAGTTAAACTGTCAAGTTTTTAGAGCCACTCAAATTTTATTTCCTGAAGATACAGTTTAAACATCTCAAAGATGAGATTATTTCATAGACATAGCAACTTTATAAAATCAAGGGTATGTATACAATTTATTTTCTTGTTTTCTTTTTAGATCCCTTAATCTGCTTATTTATTGGATGTTAAATATTTAATTTTATTAGTCAATCTAATTTTTATCATTAGGAAACCAAATTGTGTACTGTTCATCTCTTATGTGGACAATGTATAATAATGGATAGGTTATGATTCTCATAGACTGCTGGAGAGTGGCTTGTGTGAAGAACAAATTCCTCCAAAACCAAATGTTATTCCTGTAACATGAGCAAATTGTTAAGGTAAATGGTTAGAAAAACCCCAAATCTGCTCAACACTTGCATTTTTCCCTTTTTTTGTCTTTAAGAGTCTCATGCTCTACCGACTGAGCTAGCCGGGCACATCCTTTTTTTGTTTTTAGGTGTTCAGTCAGCTTGGATCTGTGCTGAAAAACTGTGACATTTCAATACATCTGGTAGAGGTGAGCAGAAAACTGAGTGAGATTCAGGCATTAACACTGACTGAAGAGAAGATACCACTAGAGCGAAATGCTGGATCCCCTGTGTATATGAAAGGTGTTACAAAATCTGGGATTCCAATCTCATGGTACCGAGATCTGCATGATGTTCCAAAAGGTAATTCTTTTACACGACGTAATGAAATCATTTTGATCGCATCCCATCCCAGCAATGATAGGTGACCAGAGCCACAGAGGACACGCTAATAGAGTTAGTGCTGCCAGGTCCCTTCCTCATAGGGAAGAGCTAATCCTTTTCTCGAAAAGAGCATTGTATTAGAAAATAACATGGCTAACAATAGGAGCAATGAATTTCCTGTGGTTTTGCAGAAATGACAGTGTCGATCTCTGTTGTACCTTTTAGTTTTTCCTGACCCCTAAGAAAGTACTGATGCTGAAGCAGCCCCAGGCAGTGGGGCCTGACGGAAGCAGGGTTAGGCGGGTTTAGTTTAACTGTCTCATCTTTTGAACATTCTTGCTGGCCTTTCGGGGGGATGGAAAATCCCTGCACCGGACAAGCGTCCTGTGTTGATGAGTCCCTGCTCATACCTGCAGGGGTGCTCAGCTCTCGGGGAAGCCACTTCAGCCAGCCCCGGGCTCAGCTGTCTCAGAGATTTTAGCAAGTTCAAGGCCTCTTTGAGCTAACCAATTTGAGTTCTGATTTCTTTCATGCCTGGTGAGGGATAAAAGTTTAAACTGATAATTGCGATAGCCTAGCTGTCTGGTCCTGCTCTGTGGGAAATGAGAACAGTAATGTTCTTTTGTCTGTTCTGCAGAGTAGGTCAAGATGTGAATGAGGTGGATGATTCTCTGTAGAGATGGCTGTGCAAACACCATGGATTCCTACACGGAGAACCAGGCGTTTTCTTTTTGTTCGTGTTCAAATGAATGAATCAAGTATTGCCTTAAAAATGCTGAAACAGTTTTTTTCTTCTGTTTTTAAATAGGACACAGCTTTTATCTAGCACATGAATTTTTTGACGTCCTTCCTGTGCATAAGTTTCAGGTATTGATGGGCTAAAGTCATTAATTGAATAACAAAGGGCCTTATGTTGTAAGAAAAAACATTTATGGTTGTTGAAGTTATTGTTGAAGTTAACTACATTTGGAATTCTGATGAATAGAAATAATTGAAAAGCAAAAGTGAAGTATTAAGTAGAACCTTCATTCTCTTAGGATAACTAGTAAGAATGCTTAATTCTCCAGGGATAAAGATGTGCGCAGATAGAAGATGGTAAATGGCTAAAGTACAAGGAAGGGTTACATTTTAGCAAATAGCTTTAATATCCAAAGATTAAAATGTTTCCTCACTGAAGTTGAAGTGAGCACATTTAAGATTTGGTGGTAATGTATGCGCACCGTAGTGTCTGAGGCTAAGAGCATGTATTGATTTGTTAGCAAAAGCTTCCGATTCATCCTTCACAGTCTGTTCTCCATTATTGGGAGCACTTGCCATGCGCTCATTTTATCCCTATGGCTCTGCCTCTTATCCAGCCAACACCAGTAGTTTGCGCCTTCCAGTATTGCCTTGAAATAATTTTCAGTGGTAAAGTACTCTGTAAATGTTAGTCATCTGTCATATATGGTTATTTTTAGTTAGAGGCAATTCTGAGAAAAAAACTGGTAAAAATTTGTTTTTATGCATTATTTTGTGTTTAGAAAACCCCACAAGGATGGCGAGAAGTATTCATTGATATCGATCCACAGGTTTCTGATAAGCTGCGGTTTGTTTTGGCGCCTTGTGTCACACCAGCAGAAGTCTTCATACAAGTAGGAAGTTTTTCTTCTTAGTTTATTGCCAACCAAATCTTCATAGTCTTATTTTCTGAGTTCCTGTTTTAGCGTTCCTTGACAGGGGCAAGGGGAGAGTTGCTCATAACATGTGAGGTGCTTTTTATTAGTAGTAAAAAGTGCAGAGGATCTCGAATCAGGAGCCTGGTTCAGATTATCTCTGGACTGCGTGACCTGAATGTAATGTGAGAAGGAAGTTAGTAAGCGCTTGCTCAAGCAAGTCCCTTACCTTCTCCCTTTCCCTCAGTTCCCTGTGGCACGGTCAGAGTATCGTCTACCTGACCGGAAGAGCTTGAGGTCTGTGAAAACAATTATTTATTGAGTACTTTGTATGTATTACTCTGAATTTTCTCATTTAATTCTCAAAACAACTACTGTCAGAATGGTACATTTACTGCTGCTTTCTGTTGACCTCAAGGAATAATCATAAGAGCCTTTCTATCTTGGGGTCATGTTTAGGGGTTCAAAAAACCTTTTACTTGTCAGGAATGTTTGGGCTTTAGATTGCTTGTTTTATTTATTTTTATTTTTTAAAATCTTTTAAAGAATGGTGATAATTTTTAATAGTTTACAGCTATAGTATCAAGTCTTATATGTGTAAATATAGTTACAGACAATATCCAATTGGCAAAATATCTACCTCTAGACAAAAAATATCTTTGCAACTAAATTAACTAACAGCTTCAAGTAATCATGAAGAAAAACAGAAGCTGTGGTAATTTTTCATCTAAAGTGACTATGGCCTATATTAGGGGCTCTTGGGTGGCTCAGTCGGTTAAGCATCTTGCCTTTGGCTCAGGTCATGATCCAGGGACTTGGGATTGAGCCCCACAGCGGGAAGTCTGTTTCTCCCTCTCCCCTCCCCCTGCTCATGTTCTCTTCTCTCCCTCAAATAAATAAAATCTTAAAAAAAAAAGTGACAATAGCCTATATTAAAACATTCTTACTGTAAGCGTTCAAATAGTTATGAAAGCCTTGTCTCATAACCTAAAAATATAACTTTAATATACATTTTCAAAACTAACAAAAATATTTTAATTATAGAGAGGTAAAATAAATAAGATTATGCTTGCTGAAAATCAGTCATGACATTATGTATGTATTTGGGGACTTTGTTGGTAGCCTGGCCTTTTAACAATAAAAAAGTGAAATTCATGAAACCTTTCTAAGAATCTACATATTATTCTAATGCAAATTACATATAAGTATATGGGGTTTTCATTCTGGATGAGCAATCCATTCTCTTTTTTTAAAAAAGTATATCCCAACTATGTAAAACATGCTTAATTTACTCTTAAAAGATCACTTCTTATAAGATATACACTGACTAGTATGAGAAAGGGCATTTTACAGATTTTAGAAACTTCTTTAGATGGGGTGACTGGGCAGCTCAGTTGGTTAAGCATCTGACTTTTAATTTTGGCTCAGGTCATGATCTCAGGGTTGTGAGATTGAGCCCAGCATCAGGCTCATGCACTGGCGTGGAGTCTGCTTAAGATTCTGTCTCCCCGCCCCCCCCACCCCTCCCACCCTGCTCTCTCTTTAAAAAAAAGAAAGAAAAAAAAAAACATTCATTTTCTTATCAAGTTACTTTAGAGTATTTGTTTTACTAAGCTTTAATTACAGCAGTTAAAAGTCTAAATCAATCACATTTTTCCCATTATTTCTCATACAAAATCCCCATGCTCCTTAAGTTTTAACATTCTACCTGCAAGAATCTTACTGGACCTGAATAACCTCTGTATGACCTACAGGAACATAATTCAGTGAAGGCCATCTGAACAGAATAGATTGCCTGTTTTAAAAAGGTCTGCTTTCTGGACCATAACTAACAACTTCTTCCTCAGAAGTTACTCGCTTCAAAAGCACTGGAGCTTTTCTTTTTAAAGATTTTATTTATTTGTCGGAGAGCAAGATGCAGGCTCCCCACTGAGCAAGAAGCCTGTTTTGGAACTCGATCCCAGGACCCTGGGGATCATGCTCAGGTAGCCGCTTAACAGACTGAGCCACCGAGGCGTCCCGGCACAGGAGCTTTTAAACATGAACCTATCAATTAAGCTTTTTTTGCAGAGCATAAGTAAGTTAAAATATCAGTCTGAGTACTTGCGAACATTTCTATTTTTTCATATTCTGGCTACCCAACTTTACCTGAATGACGAGCAAATTCATAGCTACCAAGAGCTGACTCCTTGGCCCTGGGAGATGTGATTGTTTTTAGTTCTTGACTTTGGTAGTACTCACTTATGAAAGAGGGAGCGGTGATTTTTCCCTCTCATTTGGATGGGGCGAATGGTAACAGAATCTGCCGTGTTGAAGAGTGGTCTAGAATGTCAGCACTGTATGCTGGGGTATGTCAGCTTATGCCTGAAGTGGCTCACCTCATGTTTTTACAGTTCAACCACAGTGATTTATTTAATAGAACTGGGGGCTAAGTAGTTTATTGTTTGATTTAATCCTCCCAATAAGCCTAGTAGATACAGAATGAGGAAACATTCTGAGAATTTAACTTGTTTCTAGTTTTAAGTAGTAGGAAGAGCAGAGGCTCAAGAGCTAATTGTGTGTGACTCCATACCTCTTAGCTCTGTGCCATTTATAGGCAGGATCAGGGCAGGTTACTTCTTCTATTTTTTTTTTTTAATTATTAAAGATTTATTTATTTTAGAGAGTGCATGAGCCTGTACAAGTGGGGGAGAGGGGGAGAGGGAGAGAGGGAATCCTCAAGCCGACTCCCTGCTGAGCGGGGAGCCCAACGGAGGGCTCCATCCCAGGACCCTGAGATCATGACCTGAGCCGAAGGCAGACACTTAACTGACTGAGCCACCCAGGCACCCAGTACGTCATTTTTAATAGGGTGCTAGGAAGGAGCAAAAGGTACTGTATATTTTCATAATGAAGAAAAGTTTTACTGTATATTTTCATAATGAAGAAAAAAGTTTTTTCCCATTTTCTCAGGGATTAGGAAATTTCCTATGTACTGGTCAATTGACAAGTTACAATACTGTCATTTCACTTTTTAGATTAATAGGCACTTATTGAGGACCCTTTAGTAAATAGTTGAACATCTTGGGAAATTAGGGCCTCAGGTACATTGCAAGTTTATAAGCTGAGGTTTCTAAATAGAGGGTGTATCACTGGAATACCTTTTGCCCTAGCAGAAGGCATCATAATATACTTGCTTGCTAGGGTCTGTTATATCGGGTTTTGTATCATTTGCTCTTCCAGCACAAATTTTTGAGTGTTATTTGCCAGGCACTGTTCTAGGCAGACAAAAATTCCTTTCCCACGCATTTAACCCAGGGAAATATATTTATATGAATTATGAGAGTAATATCACTATAAATAAAATGATAATGTTGGTTATCTAGGAGTTTGGGAGAGCATATGCCTTTTTATAAAAAGGATTAAAATTAAAATGTCTGTAAACTTAGTAAACGGCATCAAAGCACTAGGGAGTTCTGTATAATAAAAAGGATATCCTGTGAAAGGTTGAATGTAGACAACATAATACACATTGAGAAGGAACTTACTTTTATTGTAACTAAGAAATGCTCATTGTAGAAGAACCCTAAGGAAACTGTTCTTTCCAGTGCTGCATTTTGATTCACCTGTTCCCTTATTAGCGTGATGAAATGAGGGACCACGTGGAAGTGTGTCCTGAGGCTGGCATTATCATTCAGGAGCTTTCTCAGCGCATTGCGCTAACCGGAGGGGCTGCACTGATTGCCGATTATGGTCATGACGGAACGAAGACAGATACCTTCAGAGTATGTATGACTCAGTAACATGACTTACCATAAGTTCACTGGTATCATCTACTAAGTTGTTAAGTTTGAAGCTCATTGAAGATCTTTACCTTTGGTTTCTACAATGCCTGGCCTTGTAATTTTACATTATTCGTAAAGAGTATTAATTCATATTATTATAATTGCCCTTAACCATAGGATCTCACTGTCCAGACTGGCCTTGGAGCAGGGTCTGAATCATCTACATTCTTCAGCTGCAGAACCTGGGTCTGCATAGATCCTACTTAGCATCCGAGTAATACATACGGGAAGATTTGTAGATTTGATCTAGCTACTATGATCAGACTTTTCCTATCATATTTTCAATCTTTTTTCCTTTCTAGAAGTATTCTTTAATTCTTCCTAAGCATCCTTTATGTTTTTTTAAAAATTTTTTTAAAGATTTTATTTATTTGACAGAGAGAGATAGCGAGAGCAGGAACACAAGTAGGGGGAGTGGGAGAGGGAGAAGCAGGCTTCCCGCGGAGCAGGGAGCCCGATGCGAGGCTCGATCCCAGGACCCTGGGATCATGACCTGAGCCGAAGGCAGACACTTAACGACTGAGCCACCCAGGCACCCCACATCCTTTATGTTCTTTATCAATTGTGTTCAATGTACTTTAATTGAAATACATTTAACTGGATACTACTATTAGTCATTTTCTAGATCTGTGGTTCTCAATTTCTGATTTTATTGTAACTAAAGAAAAAAACCCTGGAGTTTTTTTAAAAATCTGATTCCCTAGCCTTACCTCCAGCATTCTGATTCAGTAGGTCTGGGCAGAGCGCAGTAACATGGTCTCAGGTGATTCTGATGCATGTAGTTGATGGATACACCTTGTCAAACACCACCTAGAATCTGGTGAAAGTTTAGCTTGATTCTAGTGAAGAAACAAGTTAACTTACGTGGAGAACTGATGGGATCTCCGATGAGATCTCCATCACCACGAGCAGTAATGAAATGTGAAAGGCAGCCATTTGCAGGCACTCCAGTGTCGCCCTTTATATTGGATTTTCCACGTAGCATCTCATTTGAGGAAAGGGTGCTACTATATAGAGAGTTTGTAAACCACTGACTTAGGCTATGTTTTTCTTTCTAGGAGTTATGTAAAATGTACTAAAATGATAGCATTTCTTTAATCTTGATAATGATAATCACAAAGGGACAAAAACTCACCATTTTTAAAATTACAAATTATGTTCAAGGGGTTTTGTGGCCACAAGCTCCATGACGTCCTGACTGCCCCAGGAACAGCGGACCTCACAGCCGATGTGGACTTCAGTTATCTGCGCAGAATGGCAGAGGGAGAAGTAGCTTCTCTGGGGCCAATAAAACAACAGACATTTTTAAAAAATATGGGCATTGATGTCCGGCTGAAGGTAATGATTTATTTCATGATCATTAAGTATTTTAATTTTGTAGTATTTCACAAAAATGTTTCAAATAATACATCCCCCGCCCCGTGCTCTTCTCGGTCAGCAGGCCCTGGGTATTGTAGTCTTTCTGGTAGCATAGGGCCTGGTGCAGCCGTGCTGCCCGAGGTGGGGCCGCCGTGCACGCCCCTGCATCTCCACACAAGCCAGAATGAAGACTTTCGAATAGTGTTCATGTCCAGTAAGAAAACTTGACCATGTTTATGGGGATGAGTTTTAGAAGTGTCCTGAAAACCTCTTAACCCTTCAGTGTACATCAAACCACCTGGGAATGTTTGTTAAACATACAGATCCACAGGTTTGGGTCTTAACAACCTATGTTTTTAATAAGCGCCCCATGATTCTGAGGCAGGTGATGAGAAATCCCATCTGAAGCCCTGCTTTGCTCAGTAGCCAATGGTCATTAGCATTGCTGCATGTAACTAGGAATCCTTCTGGTTATTTTTACTTTCCTTTTCAGGTTCTTTTAGACAAATCAGATGAGCCAGCCAGGCAGCAGTTACTTCAGGGATATGATATGTTGATGAATCCTAAGAAGATGGGAGAAAGATTTAACTTTTTTGCCTTGCTACCTCATCAGAGACTTCATGGTAGAAGCCATCCGATGAATGCATGTCAGTCAAAACCCTCTGTGTCACCTGTAGCTGGGTTTGGTGAACTTGCCTGGCGGTGATCTCAGTGTGGACGTTTTACCCCTACGTCTGCCTAAGCAAGCAAAATAAAGGGAACACATTTCATATATCACAGGTAAAATAAGTATTACAATATTTTGTCTTTATAGCCAATAAAAATAGCCCATCTTACATACAGTACAACTAAATATTGATCTTTTAAGGTTGTGTCTGGCTTTTGGCACAATTGTGTGCTTTCAGCTTAATGAAACAAGTTACTGAGAAACTGAGTGTCCTTTAATAAGGCTAGTTGCTGTATTTTTATTTTAAAAAGTAAACATGAACACTGATTGGTTTAGCAAAAACCAGAAACGTAACTGGCCTTTCACAGGGAATGGATTAAATAGAACTATCCACATATTATTTTAAAAAAATGAGGTAGAGCAATATTTCTGACCCATCTCTAAGAATGTGGTAAGTGAAAAAAGTATAGTGGAGAGAATGTTTTATAGTTATGATTCCATTTTTCTTGGGGGAAAAGCTGCATTTAAAGAAATGCTTGTAACTAATTTCATAGAAATTAATATATTAGTGCAGACTGGTTGTTTTCTGTGATAGTTACTTGTTTACAAAAAGTTAAGGAAAGGATGCCCAGTAATCACTATTAAATATCCCAATGTGGAAGTGGGCTTAAAGGGTGGAAATCGTTCTCCTTTGTGGTAAATATTTTACCCTTTGCTTCTGTGAATTTTATAATTAAAAAAAATTAGGGGTGCCCCAGTGGCTCAGTCTGAGGAGTGTCTGACTCTTGCTTTCAACTCAGGTCATGGTCTTGGGGGTTGTGGGATCTCGAGTCCCACGTCAGGCTCCATACTCAGTGTGGAGTTTGCTTGGGATTCTCCCTCTCCCTCTCTCAAAATAAATAAAATCTTAAAAAAAAATTTAAGTCCCAGTAAAACTAGTAAAAACCTAACATGTACCTGAAATATGAGAGTAAACGTAGACTACGTAGCAGGAATGTTTTCTGATTTGAGCTAATTCTCCCTCATTTTCAGATAAATGTCAAGTTTTCGTTCTGTAAGTTCTCATTTTTTGGTTCACAGAACATTTATATTAATACCAGATACATACTTTCTGAGGAATTGTTACATTGGCAACAAAAATTTACAGTGAGATTAAAGGAAAAGAGTATTAGACGTATGTTTTGAACTTATAGCTTAACGATATTGGAAGTTCACTGGCAGAGTGATCAACTCTCCGTTTTCTATTGCTTGTTTGGCTTAACTCAGAACAGGACTAGCATTCTGTAAGTAAGTAGGAAGATAGAGGGCTTATTTTTCATATGCTCCCCTGCCTTGGGCCATTAGTAGTCACCCTTATTTTTTTCCATATTTTATTTTTTCAAAGACTTGGAGAGTTTTTGGAAGGTGAAAATGCCCAACACTGGCCCCTCTCAATTATTTAATAGTTTTTATAATTAACGGGAGGAATCAGGCAATGCCTTGTATCTTAAAACCTAGAAAATTTACTTTGAATGGCATTTGGCTTATTTAAGTCTTATAGCAGTTAAAATAGTTGAATAATTTATAGTTACAATTATTCTAAACTTTCATGCCAAGAAATGACCTCCAGATAATTACCTCAGATTTCATATAAAATTGAAATAATGAGTTGTTTTTTATTTTAGGTAGTTAAAAAAAAAAATCAGTGTTTTAAATATAGCATTAGTTCCATTTACAAATACTGTTTCCAAAATAATTCTTTTACGCCTGGAAAAATAACACAACCAAATAAAATTTTCTTTGGATACCTCTATTAGAGATAGGCTCAGGTTTTCACATGGAAAAGTATGGTGATATGGAAATACATTTTATTATCAAGCTTTTTTGAGGATATTTACAAAAAGTGGGATTAACAAAAAATATAAAAATGTACGGAACAGTGTCATTATAGACTACTTTGTACATTATCAAATGTTTCTAACAATTATTTCTTATACAAAAATGACTTCAAGACCAAAAAAAAGGTTATGCAGGTTATACAGTATCTGGAGTAAATGAGTCAACTCCAAATTATCTGACAGTGCCTTTACAAATTTTTTTAGAAAACTTCTTAGGCATTCAACAACACAAACAAAAAGAGTGCAATTAATTTCATGGCTTGTAAAGTTTGATTATGTAAGTATAGCAAACATCATTCCAGTTAATTTTCACCTTATGCAGTAAAACCACAATAGGGTGCCTCAGGACTCAGAATTACTCCATTTTAGCACACTGGTATAAACAGACTTACTTTGGACAAATGTGGGGAAGTCATCCCTAAAAGGTTCTGCAAAATTTGATGAAATTTTAAAAATTCCCACAGGAGAATGACCTACTGAGAGACACTGTGAGTGTTTCCTGGCGATGTGTACGGGTAGGAATGCAGCACAGTGGTTGGGGGGGGGCAGGGTGTCACCGGGGTTCACCTCCACATACTGTGACCTTCTGCAGCTGGCTACTTAATCTTCCTGATCTGTGAGATGGAGTCCATAATGAACTCACTCTGTGGCTGTTGTGAGGGTAAGTAAGTAAAAGAGCTCAGAACAGAGGAGACTGCATGATGGCTCCTTTCTCAACAGTACTTTTAGTCCTGAATAATGGAGTAGCTTCAGGGCTCTCTCAAGCCCTCTCTGGCTCGGACTGTTTGTATCCAGGGACATTCTTTTCTTTTGCTACCTCAGACTCAGTGGGGCAATGATAGTTCACACTTTAGGGAGTATGAGTATCTTCATACATAGCCCATCTTCACAATAGCGTTGTGAGGAAGGTAGAGGCAAAAATTATGGTCTTCATTTCATAGACTGAGGATCTTGAGGCTCAGACAGATTGGAGCCAAGACTTAAGACTGGATTTTCTGACTCCAAATCTTTTGCTCTTTTTTTGGGGAAAAAAAAAGTTTACAGTGATTACTGTGGAATGAAGAAACCAAAAAGCCACTAGTTTTTTTAAATAAGTGGGTGGTCCCAGAGCTTAAACTTTTTGGGGGGAGAAAACCATTAGTAACTTTTTAAAAGCTATGAAAAAGTCTAACCTCTTAAACATTATATCTGAGTAGAGAAACACTTCTTTAGCGGGCTGCTGGTGCTGAAATGTTAAAAAAAAAAAAAAAAATTATAAGGGTAGGGCTATGGTATCAACAGAGCAAATGAAAGAATAAAATAAATGTTTCATGCTCCACCCCACCCATCCCCAAACTGCTTAAAATAATTGATTTAAAAACATTCCAGATATCTGTAAAGCCTTCCACTAACCTAAGGGAAGAAAAAAAGGATACAGTCTTTGCTGTTCTTCTTTGTAGCATTAATTGATCTGTACTGGCCTTACTTTTAATAATTTTCTTCCTCAAATTAACTCTGTGTAATGAGAAGTTGTGTGATGCAAGTTCAGATCTGTACTGAGTGCTGGAAACCGGCTGGGGCATCACGGTGGCACTGTGTGTACACCGCAGGGGAGCTGAGCGAGGGGCGGACAGACCAGCAGGCCCTCCTCCCGGTTCTGTGGCACCAGTTGTCCCAAATTATCTTAGAGGCCGTTCCAACATACTCACAAAGGGGGACTAAATTTTTATGTTGTAGAGAGCATATTAAGAATGTAGCTCCAAAGGTTAGGGATCATGGCTTTGGACTCTTGACTGACCTAAAAAAAAAAAAAGGTAAACCAGCCTAGCACCTAGGAAACATTTCTAGGCTCCTAGGAAAAACCCCTCGTGCGTCTGTGGTTAAACAAATGTTTAGAGTCCTCACAGGAAGCCTCATGCTGGTGGCCCCTCCTCAGTAATCTCTTAAATGCACACCTGGTTAGAGCTCTTATAGGATTTAATCAAGCTTTGCAATGGCTGCACTCTAAGCTTTCCTTTTTCTCCTTTTTAAAAAATAATGGAACAGGAAAGGGAAGATAAATTAAATGCCACTATAGTACTAAAGTGAAGGATTAGGAAAAAATACAAAAACCAGTCATTGCTATGCTATGAAAAGCTTCATCTTGGTTCCACTGTCTATTTTTATTACTCAGTTTCCCCTCTTGTACCTACTCATTATGAACTACAGTACTGATGTCACGGATTCCTTATCATATTCCCCATATCTTTGCACCCTTGCAGATGACAACCTACAAACAACAGTTGTGCAGCAAAATAGCAGTCCATAAAATGAAATCCTTCCTTATTGAAGTTAGCTCATTGATAATTAAGGATCTTCTTCCATATCATCTGGATTGGGAGCCATAATGAAGTGCTTTGGGTACACAAGATTGTGGGTGTATGCATGTATTTCCCAGCGGGCGTCATCACTTTCATGTGTAATGTAACGTTCACCGATGCGAGTTTCAAATTCTCTAAGGTCAAGCCAAGTCTGATAGTCCTAGGAAAAACATGAAGTGATTATAAAGTATAAAAGAAACAAAATACTGTGAACTTTTTTTTTCTTAGCATCCCAGTCACAAAATTGACAACCCAAACTCCTCTAAGTACTTGCTACACAGTCAGTTCCATTTGTAACATTTAAATTCGTGATGTTAAATACTTTTTCAAATTTAGAATCTCTAGTGAAGTAACTAGTTTCTACAACTAAAAAGAAAAAATTACCTGAGGCTTCTGAGATAGCTAATAATAATCACTAAAACATTGTGTTCTATACTCTGACCTTATACCCACACCTTACTCCTCAAAATAGGGGAAAGTACTTAGAATCTACTACCAGGATAGTTTAATAATCATGGAGACTAACTATGATTGCATTTGTTTTGAAGTTAATGCTACCCCCTACTCCCTTTAAAATAGTTCTAAAGCTTCTCTTTACTCTGAAGTTTGGGGGTATCTTTTGACAAATCTACGCAATAGCTTTTGGGGGAATTCGGCCAAACATTTTAAATGGCATTTCTGATCTCATCAATACAAATATGAATCTTTTAGTGGATGTTTTTAAAGTAAAATATATTTGACAAAATAAGATGCTTATCTTACAAAAAGGTGAAATGAAACATAAGGTCCTATAAAAAGGCTAAATCACTGCTTTCAGTTCACGGGAGTTTAACTGCCTATCAGTTCTGCACTTCAGTGGTTTACTGCAAAACCTCCAGAGATGCAGCCACAGGACAA